CTGCCTTCCCAGGCCACAAGCAGGGAGCTGGATGGGAAGTGGAGCGGCTGGGATTAGAACTGGTGCCCATATTGGATCCTGGTGTGTTCAAAATGAGAACCTTAACCACTACGCTATCGCGCCGGGCCCTGTAATATTCACTTTTGTTGTAACTCTAAATGTCCTTTCATCTTTGTTCCCTATCCTCTTTTCAATAAATGATTACTCTTCCCCCACTGCCATTTGTACTCAAACAGCTTGGTTGTCTGAGAACATTTCTTTAGCTTCATCTAGAAGACAATGTTTTCTTGTCGTATTTTGACCTTCTAAGAAGGAAAAATCTGTTGACAATTAGTAGTTGATACAAATAAAATTTCATTTAGACCTCCACGAGTTAAGCCAGGGTTTAGAAATTCTAGTTTGCTCTTGGGGCTTTTAACTGACTGGGACTTTACTCTGTTAGCTCTACACTCAGACCAGAGATGGTCTCCCCAAGAAGCTGCTGAACTTATCTGGGCAATAAGATGCTAGACTCTATGCTGGGTATATGCTTGCAATGAAGGAAACTCAACTGAAAAAAAAAACATGTATAGATTTATAATGATGTATGTTTACAAACGTATATCTTTATGTGTGTGTGTGTATATATATATATATATATATATACATTTGTATACAGGTAAACAGATATAAAACATAAAAAAAAAAGAAATTCTAGTTTTCTCTCTTAGTCTGTGTAATTTTGCCCAGGTTACTAAAAATCCACAATTTCTAAGATAACAACTGTAATAATGGCCCATTTTTCTTATAACCAAGTATTACCTCACTTTGCATCCAAACAGCTAATTTCATGTGCACACTGACCCCTGTGCTGTCTGATATTTTGCTCATTGATTTACACTGTAGCTACTACCAATGTCTCGATATATGGATGAGCATATTATAATCTGGAGAGGTTCAAGGAAGACAGCTAATAAATGACAAAGCTAGGAAAAGAACCAGACTAGGCCCAATTGCCTCTTACTTGCCAAGTTAGATGGTGAGAATTGAGCACACAGTGCAGTGGATTCTGTGTGTTCCCGCTGTGAGGGGTTTCGTGGTCTGGCTCCTCTGCTGCAGGTTGTGATTTTGATGATGTCGCTCTCTCTAGGACTCTATCCTTCATATATGGTAACGCTTCCTTTCCTACACCTCTTAGGCTTTAAAATGAGCAAAAGTCTTTTCTTCTAATTGAGCCCTATGTCCTGCACTGTCCTTTTATAATTTCTCTGGGCCCATGTACACCTTTGGAAGGAAAGAATATTTTGTTATTCATTTTCTAAATTTATTGAAAAAGAGAGAGAGAGAGGTGTCTTGCATTTAATAGCTCATTCTCCAAATGCCTGCAACTGGAGCTATGTCAGATCATAGCCAGGAGCCAGCAACTCCATCTCCATCTCCTACGTGCATAACATGGACCCAAGTACTTGAACCACCAACTGCTGTCACCCAGCAGGAAGCCAGATGGGAAGGAGATAGCAGCCGTCAATTTTAGGCCTATAATATGGGATGTGGACTCCAAGTACTGGTTGGACCCTCAATGCCATATAATCTGCCCCCAGAAGAGTCTCTCTCTGTTAAGCTCTCAACAGTTTACCTAGTTTGAGTGTAGTTTCCATTTCCTTGCGTAGTCTTGATTGATGCAATTGACATTAACTGAATGATTTTTCAAATCTTTATTGTAATGACTTTGAATTCACTTGCCACCACATACTCTTCCAAATCAATGGACCTATGTAAAAGTATATATTTATTAGGTGTTTGCTTTTAAAATTGAACTATTCATAATTGATTCTGAAAGATCTTTGATTTTAACCTTTATAGTTGGAACAATTGAGATAGCATACTAAGGACACTGTGAGGATATTAACATTTTTATTTCTTTTCATTTTTCATGTAAAAGGCAGAGAGACAGAGGATTAAAGATCTCATATCTACTGGTTCATTGGCCATATGCCCACAACAACCAGGGCAGGAACAGGCTGAAGTCAGAGAGTGGAACACCATCTGGATCTTCCATCTGGGTGGCAGAGACTCAAGTACATAAAGTTTCCTAGATGCACATTAGTAGGAAGCTGGTTTGGAAGTGGAAGCGCATGGATTTGAACTCTGGAATTGGGATGAAAGTGTTCCAAGTGATTACTTATCTTTTGCAGTTCATGCCTGTCACTGGACATTATTAATCCAAGAAAGAACTCAAATAACTGGTCATTTAAAAAAATAGGTGGTGTTTTTACTTTCAGGGTATTATGGGAAATGTCAGTAAGTTGTAGAAAAATTGCTCCTGGAAGTAAGACTAATGCAATTTTAAAGGCACAATCTAGCATTTCTACCTTCAACTTCATTAAAATGTAGAGTTTGAGACAGTTGTTATAAGTATTTGAATAATTTCAGATGAATCATGAGTGATACATGAGCTATAGGACCGTATAGCTCAGAGCTTTGGTATATAGGCCTTGGAAGCAGAATTCTTGGATTTGAATATGTTGCTTATTTGCTAGATAACTTTGGTGAGGGTTTTTTTTGTTGTTGTTGTTATATATTCACTATACCTCAGTTTCATCATTCCTCTTTGGATGGGCATCTGGGTGGGTTACATCTCCTTGTTATTTTGGATTGTGCTGCTATAATTATAGAACAGCAGATCACTTTCTTATGTGCAAAGTTTGCTTGATTTGGATAAATTCCTAATGTGGAATAGTCAGATTATTATGGCAGATCAATTTTTGAGTGTCTGAGCATGCTCCATACTGATTTCCATAGTGATTGTACTAGCCAACATTCCCACCAATAGTGAAGGAGGGTACATTTTCCCCACATATATGCCAGCAGGTATTTTAATAGAGTTCTGAATGTAGGCCATTCTCACTGGAATTAGGTGGATTCTCAATGTGGTTATTGTTTATTAAAGCAGTATTCATTTTGAAAGCGCAATCATAAATATAAACACAAAGACAGATAATAAAATTGAGTGGCAGCATTCAGCAATAGGATTATTCAAATAATTCACAATCTGTTTTTAAAATCATATTATTGGGCCCAGCGCAGTGGTTAAGGTCCTCGCCTTGCACACCAGAGATCCCATATGGGCACCGATTCTAATCCCGGCAGCCCCGCTTCCTATCCAGCTCCCTGCCTGTGGCCTGGGAAAGCAGTTGAGGATGGCCCAAAGCTTTGGGACCCTGCACCTGCGTGGGAGACCGGAAAAGACTCCTGGCTTTGGTTTGGCTCAGCTCCAGCCATTGTGGTGGCCTGGGGAGTGAATCATCGGACGGAAGATCTTTCCTCTCTGTCTCTCCTCTTTGTATATCTTTGTATAGCTTGTATGCCTTTCCAATAAAAATAAAATACATCTGTTAAAAAAATCATATTATTTTAAAAAAATTGAACACTAACACAGGACATAAAAAAATTCCAAGAGAACTCTAAGATCTAGGAGAAGGCTATCAAGAATCAGTGTGAACGACAATGATTTACAAAGTTATCTTTTATTAGGCCATAGATAAGCTTTAAATTTATCTAATTAAAAATTTTAAAAAAATCGTATCTGACAGAGTTCATAAACATTGACGGGGCACTCAAAAATGTATCCTTTGTAGAAAAAAAATTATATTTCCAGAAAGGATCCTGTTGGTACTGCACATCTTATAAATATTGTGATTTTTCTGAATAATCATAGGAAATTTATTATCAGTAATATATTATTAGAATAATTTGTAAAAATGTCAGTTGAAATTTTTTTCAAAGTTAATACAAATGTTTATGTTAATAGTGGTACCTCATCTAACAATAAGCTAAAAAATTCCTTTAAAAGCCTACTTTTCCAGAAAAACTAAAAGAATTTGCCTCTTCCAAACCTGCCCTACAAATGACAGTTCAAATATTCTCTTGACAGAGAAGAGGAATAGCACCTACCCAAAACAAAGGCAAACAGGAAGAACATCCCAGTAAAATAACAACAGAAGACTAAACCAATGAACGACCCATTCCTAAAATGACAGGACCAAAGTACCACTCATGTATATTTAACTCTGAATGTAAATGGCTTAAGCTCAATCAAACATAGATTAGTAGACTGGATTAAAAAACAAAACCCATCTGTTTATTGTCTGGAGGAGACATACTTCAACAAAGATCAGTGGAATCTATATCACATGGGTTTTGTTTTCTGTTGGTTTCATCTCTTCAAAACACTTTCTTCTGATTAAATCATTCAATGACTTGTAGATCATGCAGTGGCATCATTTTCTTCAAGAAGGTTCTTGATTTTCATTTCTTCAGCTACACGTTAGTCATTTAATAGCATGTCATTTAACTTCTTGATGTTGTTTGTTTCTTTTTTCTTCTTGATGTTGAGTTTGTTTTGTGGCTCTTCATTTAAGGGGATGTATAGTAGCTGTGTAATGGAGACTGTCATATCTAGTAACATGTCATTTAATTTCATGGCATTGTCAATTTCTATTTTTCTTTCTATTGTTGATTTTATATCATGACGTTTCATTTAAGGGAATGTGCAGTAGTTGTGTAATGGAGACTTTCTAATACTTAGAAAAGGCAAAATATGCATGTTGTTTTAAAAGGGAGTTGCCTTTGGAAAATTGGGAAATAGTACATGTTTTGCCACAGGGTTTACTTTGACATAGTGAGGAGCTGAGTGATAGGGCTCCTTACCATCCTGACTATCCTCTCTTGCATTACTATGCTAATGAGGCACCTGTCCCTTCACTGCTCTCTCGGCTGTTACTCCAACTTTTGTACTTATCGTGGACCATATCACTCTCCTTTTTTGACATTAATTATGGATATAATTATAAGGAGAGTTATTGATTTGGAAAGGTCTTTAATTAGTTAATTAAGTATTAATCTTGAGTGAAACAGCATTATTAATGTATAATTTGCTTAGGATAGCATTCACTGTTTTAAAATGCAATATTTAATGGTTTTAAGTATCTTCAGTATCTTCACAGAATTGTACAACCATCACCACAATCCAACTTATAAAATTCTGGTCCTTTTCAAACAAGAATGGCACTGCTTAGCGGTGGGTTTGCATTCCCTTCTCTTGAGGCCTTGGGAAACCTTAATACACTTTCCATGTATTTCTGTGGATTTTCATTTTCCAGATATCCTACAGAAGTGGAATCATACAAGATGTGATCTTCTGTGCTTGATTTATTTCACTTAGAATAATGCTTTTGGGGTTCGCTCATAGTATTGGATGTATAATGACTTTATTCCTTTTTATGGCTGAGTTATATAACATTGCACAGATATTAAATCTTATTTATTAGTTGATGGATACTAAGCATTTTATTATATCTTAGATAATGGTTCTATGAATATATTTGTATGAGCACATGTGCTCTTTTCTCTTGGGTATATATCTTAGAGTGCAATTTCTGGATTTTATGATAATTTTACCTTTAATAATTGAGGAACTAACTACCATTACTGTTTTCCAAACTGACTGCATAATTTAACAACTCTATTACCAATGTGTAAGTGTTGAAACTTCTCTGCATTCTCATTGATACATATTGTTTTTCTTTTTGATTTTATCCATTTTGGCAAGTATTAAGTAACGTTACATTAAAATCTATTTTCTTGTATTAAATTTTAAACATTATTTACTTTTGTAAGACAGAGAGGGGAAAGTTTTATATTTTATGTTTTATGTTTATATTCTAGGTGTCTACATTTCATAGAGACAGAAAAATGTTTAAGAGAAGGATATTGATGAAATGACCAACTGCTAACTGGAGAAGAAAAATACTCCCCAAATGCCAACGTTTAGATTTTGTGAGTAGGAAATTAGTGTAAGCCTGTGAGAGGGAAGGGGTAGGCATGGTAACTGGCGTCCGTGGAGGAAAGGAGAAAGCAGAGGAAGAGAAGTATACAAAGTAGACTATTCCTTCAAGAACACTGTCACTGACCACTTATTCTACAAAAAGACAAAGTCAGTCAGGTCACTTATAAGACAGAGTTGGAAAAATCGTGTTTAGAAAGGAAAGCTTGGCTATTGAATTACGCCATGTTGTAGAAATGTTGACAGTAGCAAACTAGGGCATACTGGGACAAGCTTGAAAAAGAATTTTAATTGCCCTATGGGTCAGAAGATTTTGAGAAGATAGTCCCTAGTGCTAGGTGTGGAAAAAATCCTGGAACCCTAATGAATGGTGCAGTTCACTGAAGCAGTTGACTTTGAGGTCCTTTATGAGAGAGAGAAGTGTTGAGTGACAGGATAGTTAGTATTGTGTAGAGTGAAATGAAAAGATGCCAAGGTCCGATTGTTTGGGTTTCATTTTTGTTCAGTGAATGGCTCTGTGATCTTGACCAAGAAAATTCAGGAAGGAAAAGCTGACTGAGTACAACTTTCCTCAAGTATGAATCACTTGTAGGCATTCTGTCATCCAGTGATCCTGAAAGCCCTGTAGTGAGTGTGGAGGATGCAGATGGGCTATAAGTGTGAAGGGAGTACCTGGCTTCATGTTCAAGGTGACAGTGGATAGAAAATATTTAATGGAAGACAAAAGATGCTATTTCTTTTTAAAAATTATTTATTTTTATTTGAAAGTCAGATTTTACAGAGAGAGGAGAGATAGAGAAAAGGTCTTCCATATGGTGGTTTACTCCTCAAATGGCTGCAGTGGCCAGAGCTGAGCTGATCTGTAGCTGGGAGCCAGATACCACACGGGTGCAGGTTCATAAGGACTTCCTCCACTGATTTCCCTACTATAAACAGAGAGCAGGACTGGAAATGGAACAGCTGGGTCATGACCTGGTACCTCTATGGGATGCCAGCACCAGAATGGTCACCGGCCATTTGCCAAGATTGGAGAAGCAACTACCTGAAAAATCATTATGGTAAGTGATGATAGTATTTTATTATTTACAAAAAATATTACAAAGAACTAGACAATATAATAGCAACATAAAAGCATAGAATCCTGTAGAAAAAAAGCAGTAGCAGGAAATAGGGCCAAATTTGAAATGAGAATGATAAGATGCAGTCAATTCTCAGTATTTGCAATAATTATGTTTATAGAGTAATTACAAGCTGGATTAGGGAATAGTGAGACCTAACTGCTGTCCTCGTATCCTCACTGCACTGACAAATGGCTGGCTGCCCTAGGTCATTCAACACAGCAAAATCACCAAAAAAAAAAAAAAAAAAAACCACAAAAATATTTAAAAACTTGACATTGCAAAGATCTACCAAGATAATATCTATTTCTAATAAGAGAGTTGAAATTGGAAGGCAGAGAGCTACCTGGGAAGGTGCTACTTCACATGTTCCTGTGAGTGATCCTGATATTGGGCAGTACTGATATCTGGTGTACAAGAGTATTGTAGCCAGGATGTACATTCTCACATGCTGAATCTGTGACTAATGAGGACTGTGTGCTGTAAACTTGGAGATGCTGTGGAACACCTCCAAAACTGGGGAAGTTTCTAGGCAACTTACCCCTGCTCCTCAAAAATGATCGTCAGGTAGCTGTCATTGAATTGTCAGACTCCTTACAGGCATTGAAATTATCAATTAAAATGGATGTTGAGCATAGTCAGCCCACCTGTGGCCTCTGAATGGTCCATAAAACTCATGGCCTTCCTTGGAGCAGACAGTGGTAGTATACTGGTGGATTCTTCTGAAGATTCTGTGATAGGAAAGTGGACTTGAGCCCATTGGAAGTCCATATGTAGGTTGGTTATTGCTTTAATCGGGGCTTGGAGTTCCTATAAAGCACCAAAGCAGGATCTAATCGTAGGAAGTTAGTCATGACAATGAGAATGGAAATTGGAGTCTCACCATGCAGAATCCTGCAGGGCCATTCTGACCCTTGCACTTTTCTTTTAATCCAGTGAGTTAATATTCAGTAAAGAGTGAATTTGGACCTAGATGACAACCGAAGAAGGGCAAGCTACAGGGGGAGCTGGGCTTATACAGGCTGCATCAGAGGTGTTAGGGCTGGAAGTTCATTTCTGAAGTCCTCCACAGAGGAGCTGGTTGGGTAGGCATGTGGACCCCTAAGGGTGGTAGTCTAACAGTATGCTGCCTTCCTGACCGCAGATTCTTTGCTTACTCCAGTAATCCATTTAATGATCAAAAGCATCCTTATTAGTCTACTCTCCATATCTAACATATTTTTTTTTTTTTTTGTGAGTGAAACATGAGATTTCACACTTGGAGAAAAATTCAAATTTAAAATCCTGGATCAAGGCTGGTTTTGTGGCACCACAGATTAAGCCACTGCCTGTGACACCAACATCCCATAAGAGCACTGGTTCGAATCCCAGCTGCTTCACTCCCAATCCAGCTTTGTGGTGATGTGCCCATGAAGGCAGCTGAAGGTGCATACATATGAGAACCCTGAATGAAGCTCTTAACTCCTGGCTTTGGTCTGACCTATCCCCTGCTATTGTGACCAGTGGAAGTGAGCCAGTGGATAAAAGATCTCTCTGGTCTCTCCCTCACTCCCACGTTGTGTAGCTTTGTTTTTCAAGTACATGTATTTATATTTTTAAAAAGAATAAAAACTTATTTCCAACTTGCAATTAAATGTGCAAATAAGGATGGATTATTGTTAGCAGTCTCTTGTCATTCATCAGGCAAAGCAGGGATTGAAAATCAGGGGAACAACCAAAGCAAGGCTTTTTATGCTCCCCCAAATAATTTTATGCTTTTTTGATTATCCTGAGTAAGTAGGATAGAAAAAATTTCCCTTTAATCCACCATTCAAATACTACTGCTCAAAAGTGATAAAAATAGCATGTAGGTATTAGTCAAAGATTTGTTTTTTCAAGATTTGGCTGAAAACCAAACTAAAACTTCCATGTGCTCTCCAACAAACCCCATGTTTCTCATAGCTTGCTATTTCTAATCCTTGTTGCTATGGAAATGGATTTTTACATCAGCAAAATTGGGATGAGGTACTGAGTGATTTATACACACTGTTTGATATTTTAAGTGATTCACCATTGCTCTTTTCCTTTTCTGTAGAAAGGATATAAGGGTATTTTTCTTGTACAACTCTCAGATCTTTAGAAAAACGGGCCCTAGAACTATAACCCTTCAGGGGTGAGCCACACCCTGACATCCCTCATAAGGCATTCGGGACAGAGCCATGTCTGGCACGATAGACAAAACCTAGAAGTCACTGTAGCTGGCTGCTTTACTCAGCACAGTTTAATGGAAATGAGAAGTTTATGAAACGTTTGAAATGTATCTAGCATTACCAGTCAGAAGTAGAAAATATTTAAAAATTGTCAGTAAAATTAACCACTTCTAGAATTCTATTTCTAGTATAGAAATGTCCTCATTTCCCCCTGTACAGGGTAATCTTTCCTTTGGCAAACCCAAGAATCTTTGGGTGCTCACTCCTTCAGAAGGTTGGGTGGTCTGGTTCCAAGAGCCTGGCAGAGCACGAACTGGTGAGTGAAATGAGTCTGCGCTTAGTCTTAGTCTGCGTGGCTATTGTTGCTGCTATTTCCTTGTTAATGGGAGTACTTCATCAAGTCAGCCCCCCATAAAGTCAATTGCACACATGGTTTCTGCCAGTTTCCTTTCCTCTTGGGCTAAGTGATGATGCTTCTCCAGGGCTTGGAATGCTGGAATCCTTTCCACCAGGTGGAAATTGAAAGTTTGTCCCAGAACTCAGCACTTTTAATTAGGTACTAGGCACTAGGTTTGATTACTTTAAAAATTAAATCACTTGTGGCTTATTATACATTTATTTAACTTTTTAAAACGTGTTGTTCTTCAAACTGCTAGAAAATATTTGTCTAAAATCATTGTTGCCTGGTGTTCAGTCGTTAGGGGAAAACAGAAAAAAAGCTCAGTATTTGACAGCAATTAGCTTCTTTTTGCTTCAAACTGGTCTTGGGAGTGTGAGCCATTCTTACAACTCTAGAATGTTTATACAAAGGAAGAATGACTCAGACTGGCTGGAACCAAGTTATGCGAAGATGAATAATTCCTTTCCTACTTTTGTTTTTCCAGTTCCTCTACTTTCACTTTTACCTTCATGTATTTCCCATTTGAAATGGAGAAAATGTGAGTACATTAATAAGTTATTTTCCATTACCAAGCTTTTAAAAATTTGTTTAAATTCCGTTCTTGGCATGTAAGCTCCTTGGCATGTAGAAATTGTTCTATACTCCTATAGAGTTGAATTCATTATATTGATAAAGTACTTCAATAACAGCTTGGTGAAAATTTTTTGGTTCTGAATTACTGGTGAATAAAAACTCAATGAAAGGTTAAATGGAAAGCCCCAGTGTTAAAAAAGTGAATTTCTCTTGCTGTGATTCAACTGTTTGCTTTAGAAGCACTTAAAGTTCCTGCAGAATCTCTTGCTATCTCTTTTGACCAAATCTTACTTGCTTCTTCCATGTCAGAGGTTGATTTAACCAACAGAATTGGAGTAAAATGGCATGGTACAAGTTAGTACAGACTACATGACTGTAAGTTCTTTTGTGATGGCAAATGGGTAGAATATATATTAAGTTTTCTTTCTTTTTCAAACATAAAGAATACAAAGTACTCTGAATATTTGAATACAAATCAAGATACTTATACACCTCAATCTGCAAAGTTTCCCTTCTTGTCAACCCTTTCACCCCTCCCCAACAATGCACCCATGCATCCTCCCTTCTGATGTTTGGTTCTTGGAAGTAGACCAAAAACAGAAGCTGAATGGAGACTGTTTCCTCTACACTCTTCCACTCTATGTTCTTTTGAAATTTGTATTATAGTTCAATAAATTTAAGGTGAGAAAAGGTATTATGGCCTTGTATATTGCTCAAGAGAACAGGTAGAGAAATTTTATACTATAGAACAGTATTGGATTATATAGTTCTTGATCCTGTGTATAATACTGTATCTTTCAATCATTATAGTAAGCATGGGAATGGAATTTTCTGAAGAAGAAAATGTTTATTTAATATATGAGGAAATTGAATATTACACTGGTAAAGCAGCTTCTCCAAGGGCACAGAGCATAGGGAAGGAAGGTGGTAATTGCTGCTCATTTGAGCCCCACACCATAGATGCAAAGGGGAAGAACTGTTGTAGGAAAAAAGCTGTTGTAATGAGGTCTTCACTGTCATTAGAAATGAAACCTTTTGTGGAAGGTCCCAAGATTAATGTATTCTTTGACATTTTGCTTTCTGGAGAAAGGGTGTTTGGTCTGTATGGTTCAATTGAAATAAAATAATGTTATTAATCATTTTGGTGGTTTTTAATTACATTAAATAGATTTGAGATGCACAAAAAGAACACACTCCCTGCTAGTCATGCACTCCTCAGATATTTGTGATGGCTGAGGTTGGGCAGGGAGAACCCAGGTTCTCTGAATCGATCTGGGTCTGTCATGTAAGTGTCAGGAATCCAGCTACTTGAGCTCTCATCTGATGCTTCTTTGGGTTTGCATTTGCAGGAAGCTGGAATTAGGAGCAGGACCTAGGTGTCAAACTCAGGAGTTCCGACATGGGATGAAGGGCATCTTAACTGCTAGACTGAACACCCAAAGTAGCATTCTTAATTTGAAATACAACCTTTGTTCAATCAAGTAATCATTTTTTTTTTCAACTGCGAGCATACTACTGATTCCAAACCTATGAGTCTGCTTGCTGATGACTGTGCTCAGATGCTGTCTGTCATCTCAGAGTCAGGAAAGTAGGTTGCTCAACAGAGTGGTTAAATAATTCCGTCACTAACTGTATGGTTGAGCAACCATTTCCTTATCAGTGTGCTAGGAAATGTATAGAATCTGTTTCATAATATAGCTATGAATGTTTGAAAAACTACTATAGAGATCTAGATGTGTCTATTTCTGTCAGTTGTGCCTAGAATAGTGATGGGAACTGAGCTTTTGCCATATAATAATTATTTTTATCACTCAAATGACTTCATTTCCCTTCAAGGCTAGCCTCTTTTTAAATGTTTTTCTCATGGGAAGTGTACCAGCAGGCATTTGCCCATTGGTCCAAGTCAGAGGATGGGGATCAATTTTTATTCTCTCTGCTCCTTCACCCTCATGTCTAGTTGACAAGCAACCCCTGATGACTTTAGCTTTGACAATATCTTGAGCCTGTCTTCTTTTCTCCCCTAGTATTTCTAACTGGAAATGGAACCACTTTCACCTTGAGCACATGATGCCTTCCCTTGCTTTTTCCCTGCCCTCACCACAGTCAGCTTAGTTACATCTCACAGTGCTGCTCCTGATGCTTCATTATTTCCTATTGCAGAATGAACCTGGTAATGGACTACTTACGAGAGTCATCATTACACTGCTTCTCTCTTTACTTCTCACAGTTAAAATGTCTTTTGTTTTTTTGTTTGTTTTAGAAGAGGAAGGGTTTAGGACTTTCAATTTGTCCTAAAACCACTAAATCAAAAATTATTGATTTTATTTATTTATATTTATTTTTTTTATTATAAAGTCAGATATACAGAGAGGAGGAGAAACAGAAAGGAAGATCTTCTATCCATTGATTCACTCCCCAAGAAGCCCAACGGCCAGAGCTGCACTGATCCAAAACCAGGAGCCAGGAACTTCCTCTGGGTCTCCTATGTAGGTACAGGGTCTCAAGGCTTTGGGCTGTCCTTGACTGTTTTCCCAGGCCACAAGCAAGGAGCTGGATGGGAAATAAGGCTTCTGGGAAACAGGGCTTCTGGTGCCCATATAGGATCCCAGTGTGTACAAAGTGAGAATTTTAGCTGCTAGGCTACCATGCTGGACTGATCAATAAAAAATTATGGTAAAACATTTTGTTTTTCTTTACAAGCCAGAAATGAAGAAAAATTATTCATAGGAAAAAGAAGCTTTATTAATTCTTCAGTGTTCAGCTCAAGTGTTACTTCCTTAGCCCTCTGATTAAATTGCGTCCATCTGTTGTATATTCAAATCACGCTGTACTTTTCTTTCATTAGCATTCATTTAAAATGTAATAGAATAACCAGTTAGCTATCTTGTGTGCTAGGATGTAGGGTTCTTGAAAACTTCCCATAGTGTCTGTACCTACCACCCCGCAGAATGACTTGCACATATTTGACATTTGTTGAATATTTATCAAGTGGCTTTCTATATTTGGAAACATTGTGGTGCCTGAATGATACAGGAAGCAGTATTAGCATTTTAAAAATATTCATGCCTTTGCAAGAATTTGTGCAATTATTTCAAAAAGAACAACAACAACAAAAAGTTCCTTAATTTTATACTTTATTTCAAATAATATTAAATAGCCTGAATACTTGAAAGCTGGTAACTTTCACTTTGTTTTTGAAAATCCATTAGTCTGTTTTAAATAAAACTGACCTTCTGTGATGGGTGTTTAAAATTTGACTTACTTTATATAGGAAGTAGCTCAATATTTTCTGCATTTACTAATTCTAATCACCAATTGAAGTTGACAGTCATTAAGGCAGAAATGTCCTATATGCACTTTTATTTTAATCCGAGCATGATTACGTACAATTAGGTCTGAAGTATTGTAGTTGGTCCTGTGCAGGATGCAGATAGATGAGGCAAGGAACCTGCTCTGAGGGCGGCTTCCAAGCTAGTAGGGGGAGACAAGAGAAGTGCTGAAGTACCTAAAATTGGAACATTTGTCATGCAACCAGAACCCACTAAGGAATGTTCCAATCTACCATTCTTCCCTAAGCAGATTGTGGGGGAAAGTGAGTGCTTAGAAAAGAACAAGGGCGAGCTGGGGTGGACATTTGGTCTGGTGATTTACAGGCCAAGTGGACCTCGTCCTGGCTCTTCTCTGGTTTGGGAGGCACCAGATGATGTCTCAAGTACTTTGGATCTGCCACCGTGTGGGAACCCTGCATTGCATTTCTGGCTCCTGACTTCACCCTGGCACAGCTCCAGCTATTGTAGACAACTGGGCAGTGAACCAGTGGATAGAAAATTTGTCTCTTTTGAAAAAAATTAACATGAAGAAAAACCATGGAGATCAAGTTGTTGTTGTTTTTTTACCTGTCAGTCTTTCCCAGTCATTGAATCGCTTACTGGCCATGAAAAACAGATATTTGGGTCCTGCCCCAGACCAAGGAATGTGCCCAAATATGCTCAAATGGATAGGTTTTATGCTATGTGTGATGGAAAGCCCTTACTTGTTTGTAAAGAACCCAGCTCACCCAATTAGTAGCCAAGGATATAATCAGTAAAAAAAAAAAAAAAAAAAAAAAAGGAGATAAAATGCCTGAATTTTATATTGTCTTATTTATTTCTTTGAAAAGGCAGACCTTGTGTCTGAGAGCAGAACTACAGGACAAGGGAAAGCTGACTCATCAGCATATTGTAAGTTCATGATGTACATAAATTACGTTATATTCAAACTTCAGTAAGGGCCGTATGTCATCAGTCTTAAAAAATCTTGTGAACTCATATGTGTTTAGAATTATGAACATAAAAATTCTAAAAATAAAAAAACATTGAGAAAATATGGTTATAAAATTTGTGGATAATTTCGCAATTTCTCATCTTTGGATAAAATCTATTAAGTTATTCTTTTTCTTTTAAAAAGGCAGATAGAGTAGTTATAAACTGCCCAGATGCTCCTAATGGTCAGGACTGGTGCAGACTGAAATTTGGAGCTGAGACCTCCAGCCTGGTCATCCACAGAGGTGGCAGAAATCCAGTCACTTGAGCCACTTATTGCTTCCTGATGTTACTTTTTTTGTTTGTTTGTTTTTTAAAGCTGTAGTAAGAACATAAACAGTAGAGTAATTGTGAATTAAAATTTCAGTGCGTTGGTGGTTGCATCAAAATAAATTTATATCTCTCATTCATAAAATCCTAGAGGTAAAAGAAATCCTAGGGTTCTTCTTTTATTTTAAAGGTAAAGGTCAGAGAAGCTAGGTTATTTGCCTAAGGTCACACACTGACCTGTTTTAGGGAGATACCATAAACACTGCTACATTCCCTTTGTAAAGATGCATTTATTTATCTTACACAGTCAGTGGGTGAGTGAGGAGAGAGATCTTTCATCTGCTATTTCACTTCTCAAATGCCCATTATCCTTAGTGCTGAGTTACGCCAAAGCCAGGAGCCAGGAGCCAGGCACTCCATCCATGTTCTGTGGCTGAGGCCATAGAACTTGGGCAACTCAAAGAAATTGGGATGTGCTCATTAGCAAGAAGCTGGATCAGAAGTAGAAGAGTTGAAATTCGAACTCTCACTCTAATATAGAATACAGCATCTTGAGTGGCAACTTGATCTGCCCTAACGCAGCCAGCCCACTCACACTACATTTCTAAAGTAAATGAAAATTAGGCATAGTGATATCAATTCTGGAGATGCCATTTCAAGACAGCCTACAGATTTTATCTTTGTGTTGTATATTATCATTGTTGTTGGACAGTAACCAAATTGTTCTGAGTAAGACCTTTTCCATCTGGAGAACAAAAATTACTAATCACCTTAGCACAGCCTATATAAATGCTTCAATATGAGAACATTTCAAAATATTTGTGGAAAGAAAGAATTAAGAAATGTTTATTTTGGTGCTCTCAATTCTGAAATCCATGCATAATTTTTCCATAGTATATATTTTCCATGAGATTTTTTAAATTCCACATATGCATGGGATTTAAAAGCTTTTAGCCCCCAAATAAATTTACTTTGTAATGCCATTTCTATGAATTACTTTTATTTTAAATATTTATTTATTTATTTAAAAGTGTTACAGAGAGAAACAGGAGGAAATCTCCCATCCATTGGTTCACTCCCTATGTGAATGCAATGGCCAGCGCTGGGCAGGCCAAAGCCAGGAGCCAGGAACTTCATCTTCATCTCTTTTGTGGATAATTGGGCCATTAGCAAGGAGCAGCCAGGACACAAACTGCACACATGTGGAATGCTGTCATTGCAGGCGATGATTTTATCCATTATGCCACAATGCTGCATCTCCATTGATTTTATAAGGTACCCTCAAATATGTGGCAAGAACTGCAAGTCAAGTGTTGTGGCACAGTTATTTCATTTCTACTTGGGATACCCGTATTCTAATTGGAGTGCTTTAATTGAAATCCCAAGTCTACTTCCCATCCAGGTTCCTGTTGATGTGAACCCAGAGAGGTGGCAAATGATAGGAGACCTGGATCAATCTCTAGGCTCCTGATTTAGGAGCATTTAGGGAATAAATCAGTAAATTAAAAAAAAATATCTCTGTTTCTCAAATAAATAAAAATGATTGAATAGAGTTAGCAACTTTTCCTACCTGGCAGAGCTAGATCACAGTATCCTCCAACAAGAGTCAGAACAGGGGATGGGAAAGGTTAGGCTTTGAGCCATGACACAAAGCAGCACATAAGAGAAGTGAGTCTGGGGGCAGATTTGGTGGGGGGTGGTGGTGGATGTGTGGACCCCACTTTGTGGGTTTGCAATTTCTGCCGGTTTGCTTGGGAGGTGGGGGAGGTGATGGGCTGAGCTAGGCATTACCATAGAACCCTCTGATACACATGGGTACAGGGGGGTACAGGTTGGCCTGGTCCAGATCACAGCACATATAGGCACATACAAGAATACTGTGTGGGGCAAGCTGGGCCACAGCATCCACTGCTAATACATAGGAGTGGGTAGTCTATGCCCAGTAAGAGCCTAATACCCTTTGGCATGTGCGAGATATAGGTCTGATAGGGGAATGGGAAATTCCCTGTTGGGCCATAGTTCCTGCTGGTGAGCATGTAATTCAGTTCTTGATGTTGGTCAGATTGGGCAGAGTCACTTCAGCCATCAGCAAG